TATATATATATATATATATATATATATCAGGGTTATATTATACCCTCATCACCATGATGCATGAATATATTTTGAAACATGACCTTTTGATTAATGAGAGGCATCATTATTTTCTTTAGAAATATGTAACATATTTAGACAATGAATTACACATCAAAAACCAACTTAAAATTGAGGACAAAAGCAGGTGTTTTCTTTGAGCTCTTGATCTCTGCTATGCTTATTTCACAAGTTTATGCTCCAATGTAATTTGTTTTTAATTTTGTACATAACGTGGGTTTGTATTTTATGCTAATATAAATTGTATTCGCCTTTTGTGAATTTTGGTCTGAACTTTACTTTTTTAATTTGCCTTCACTCTTTTCTTTTTAAAGTAGTGCTTTCACATATAACATTAAAGATCCCAGAAGATGTTTTGCTGCCCTTCATTGATTCAATAGTTTAAAAAATTATAAAATGTATGTATGAACAGTACTAAATTATTGTTTTCTTATAGAGAGCTTTTTTGCACAGGCTGGATTATATTTATACCTTTTACTATTCTTCAATCTTGATATAGTACAAAACACTTAAAACTCATTTAAGGAAAATTGGGTTCTTTTGGATTGAGACTGGTAGATGATTCACATATTTACTGAGAAATTAAAAATACATGTGTGGTTTATTGGAAAAGTGCTTATATTCAACCAACAAATTGCTGAAGATCCTGACACACTTCTAACAATGCCAATTTTTTTCCCCACTTGGCTATGTAACTTAGTTTACATAGGGAAAGGAAATTATTTCATATTTGTTGCTAAGCCTATAAATGATATTACATGTAACCTAAGATAGTAGTTTAACATACTGATTTATAAAGGCTTTTTCTCTTACGTTGTTTTAAATCATTCCTGGAAATGTTATGAACTTGATCAACTGGAATTAGTTTAGATTCTGAATAACTAGGCCTTCTATTCTGATTAAGGCTCATCCAGTTCTATAAAACTACTGTAACATTCTTGTTTATTTTGCATACTTTTGGCATTTCAGGAAAACCATAACTTAGTCAATTTGCATATCAGTGAGAAAACTGCATCAACAAAAGATGCCTATTGGCCAAAGTTGTAATGGGTTATTACAAAGAAGGATAAAAAATATTATATTACTATAAAAATAACAGTATGATTTTACATTTCACTTTAGTTATTTAGCATTTAACTTTGTAAGAATTATACCGGAAACAAAATATATTTAAACCATTAGCAATTTATGAGATCACAAAATTTATATATGCTATATTGTTTTATATTGTTGCTCGGGCAAAATTCTTGGGTCATTCTTTTCAGTACAGTTTCTGAGAATTAAATTTGTGCTTATTTCCATTTGTAAACACTTGATTATATATTAGAATTTTTTAAAATTGTGTTTTGGTTTTGTGGGCAGCAGTTTTAGTTAATTTAGTAATTAATTTTTTTATTCTATGGTTATTTATTATTTCTTCAAAAGCTATCTTAAAATCTTGCATATTAAGATATGAGGATTCCACTGGCGATTAAATTTAATATTGTGAACAGTTTTACAGTGGAAATGTTTAATTGTTTAGAAAAAAACAACATTTCCACTGTAAAGCTGTTCATGATATTAAATATCTTAAAATCCATTTATTCTCCTGGTATGGTTTCATTATACAAAGTAATTTCTATTCTAGTTTAAATTTGTTGCTTGCTTTTGGCATGAAATTTTGTAAGAAATTTTTTCGGGTCATTAAGTTCAAAATAGCTAGACATAATACAAAGCAAAAATCAAGTTCCATTATTAATTCAAATGTAATAACCACTAATTAAAAGTTCTTTTTTTTTTGACAAAAATTAACTGCTCATTAAAACCACCTATAGTGATTTTCATGGAAATTGTTTTCCTGAAATATTGATGGAGATATATATTTTACTGCTTTTTTTTCATTATTTGATAACTTCGTTTCTTCCATTTAGGATGCTCCTTTTCTTTATGGACTAGGTCTTGTGTACTTTCATTTTAATGCCTACCAGTGGTAAGTCTACTGTTGAAAAAAATTAAAATTGTTATTGAGTCTCAAGCAGAATAAGTAGTTAATTGAAGGTAAAAACAACAACATGGATTTATTAAATTCATTTTTCCAGAGTAGTAGCAGAATGTTGTAGGGAGAAATATAGTTGTCTTAGAATATAAGGAAATGTATATTTGATGAACTCTTGACAGTGATTGTGAGATGTGGAAGATGACATTTCTAGGTATAAAAAGTTAGTTTGTATATTTTTATATTTTAAGATATCTTTTTTTTTCTGCTTTTTCCAGAATATATTTTAGGTTATTTTACACAAGTGTAATTCATAAATCAAAATGAGGAACATCTTTTTTGTTTTCATTAGATATGTGACAGTAATCATTATATGTGTATTGCACAAAATGTATGCTTATGATGTGAAAACAAAGGTTATTAATTTTTTGATGTACTATTTTGTGTGCTACAGATTCAGGTATTTTATTAAGGATTCCAGTTTACCTATTAAGAAAAAAAAAAACACTACAATACAATTAGTGCTAAACATAGATATTTTACAGCTAGTTAGTGATGATTTAGCTGTGTTGTCTAAACAGAAAGTGCTTCTTTTGAAATATGCTACATTCATTTACTTAATATATTTTCAGTTTGACAGTTTTCTATAGCCAGATAATTATGGTGTATATGCTAAAAAATTATAGAATATCCCAAATTTATAAACCAGCTTTATTAGATGTGAATAATTAATTACTTTTTCTGTTCTCAATACTATATGAATATTTGTTGAACAGTAAATAGATCCTAATTTTTTAAGTTTAATGGAGATACAATTTATAAAAAGACATATATTTATGAGCATATGTATTTATTTATGTATGAATTTCTCAAAATACATGTATGTATGTATATATACATATATACACACATACATACATGTGTGTAAATGTGTGTATCTGTTCATTTGTGTGTTTGTATGTATTTTTGTGTAGGTGTGTATATGTACCTTGTACATCTGGTGTTATAATTTGTTGTGAGGAAGTGGTTGAAATTTGTTTAGAGTTTGGCAACTGTTTCAATTTTACTGCCTTAATGATGTGAGTGATGGCTCAACTGAGCAAGGAGATTGGTAGAAAAATATGTGAAGCTGACAACAAATGAAAGTAATGTTTAATATTGTGTATAACAAGATTCATTTTTCATTAAGTCAAGCATTTGGTGTTCTATAGTTCAAAATAGTGGAAGGAGAGGGCTATGTCTCCATTTATAGCATTACTTTTTAAGTCTGTCACTACTGGACATCTTTTCTGAAAAGTAAATATATTGCTACTATACATACATTCCCTTCACAAAAATATAAATGAAGGAAGAAGATAGTACTCCGAAATGCTGTACACTGTTGTACTATAGTTTAAAATGAAAAATATAATGCAGGTTAGATTTGGTATTTTTTAGCACTGTTTTTTTTAAACAAAGTAAAAAAATAAACTTCCTGAAACTTTTTTTTGATATTAAATCATTTTTAGCTTGGTATAAAATTATAAAATAGAATCTGCACAAGGATACACTGGCATAAATACAGATATATTTAAAATTTATAATGCCTAGTTTAGAATGGCTATGTATACAAAAATAATTTGTGTATTCCAAACTACAATTTTTTTTTAAATTCTGACAGGTTCTTTTGAGTTTTATAAATATTATACTCTTGTCATCGAGTACATACAAATTTCTCAACAGAATGCTCATTCTTATGAAAACTAAAACATTGCCTAGCATTAAAAGTTTAAATAGACCAAACACTTTCTTAACTTCTTGTTCATACTTAATAGCACTAAAGATGTTAATAATGTGAAAGTTAGACTAAGCCCTTTTATTTATATAAAATTATTCAACCTAAATCATCCTGGAAGCTTTTATTACACATTTCTGGCTAACTTAAAATTTATTGTATGTACATTGGCTACATAGTAAGATTGTAATGATTCACCAAAATTAGGATTCATCGTGGATCATTGGCCATGGCTCAATAAGTGGTTTGTTTGTGCAGAGTTTGGTTCATTTCAGTTGTTTTTCTTCTTTTTTCGAATATTTTTTTATATTATATAAAAACATGCTTTAAATAATTATATGATCAGTCTGTGTACTGTATAACCATTCTAAATACAGATCTTATTATTTTTGTTAGTGTGGCTTGGACATTTTGTTAGTCAGGTTTCTAATTTCTTGTAAATACTGCATATGAAATTATTCATTAAATGGTAAACCAAACTACCATGTGCTGTGCCAACAATGGCTGACTCATTGAAGTGTAAAGCAGGAGATGCACAATTGTTCTACAAATCAACTGTTTGGAAATGTTTTGGGTTTTAAGTTTTGGATCAAATTCTATTCTGTAAACAAGACAACTGAATGAGTCGCATACAATTGAGCACATGGCAGATGTACTGGATGAGGCTGTATCTTCTTGGGACATGAAATATTCTTAATATTCTAAATATTTCTCACAACCATTTATGAATGATAGAAAATTGAAGTAAAATAATTGATAAACATATTAAAAAATAAATCAAAAATATTAAATGGGATATTATATAATCAGCAGACCACTGTTGGGATAATGAAACCTGTCTTGTAAGGTTGATATTTCAACACAATAATGGCCATGCAAATATACAAGATACAAGATTTCATCTATAGATTACTAAATTAATATATACTACAAAATAATGGAAGTTTTCTTCTTTTTATGTTTCTCCAGTTCTAGTAATGTAGCTTCCTCCTTGATCAGTATGATGTTGAAGTAACAAATGAACAGTAGTATGAATGACCTTCAATAATGCATTGTTTCATATTACAAATGCATTATTAAAAGAAAACAAAGCATGATATAAATAATAATTTACAATATGCTTTCAATTTTATTAACTATAACAATTTTAAGTAGTCTATAATAATAATAAAAGGGTGTGTGTCTGTGAATCTCTGTGTGTGTGACTGCCATAACTCCAAGAGGAAAGAACCTAGAAACTTGAAATTTCGCACACATACTAAGTGGATCCTGAGAGTGTGTACCTGGGTATTATTACTTATTCACGTGTGTAATCGTGCACATCTTTTTGTGAGGTAAGTAAGAGAGAAACCATATACAAAAGAATATGTGACCACCATAAGCTCCTAGAGCAAACAATCTAGAAACCTGATATTTTGTACCCATACTAAGTGGACCCTGAGGGTGTGCACCTGGATATTATTGCTTATCTGTGTGCATACACATCTTTTTAATGAAGCAAGATAGCGAAAAACCACATAGAAAAGAAGTGGTTCCTTATATAACAACTTCTAATATATAGAAAAGCCAGTGCGTTTTGGTAATATTGTATGCCAACAATGGCTTTTATATTCATGTTGCTTAGCAGTGAAATTATAACCTAATATTGTTAAGAGGCCATGTGCTGAAAATATAAAATAAAATGTATAAACTACAAAATTAAAAGAATATATATTTGCTGTTTTCTGATTTAGAGGCTCGATTAATTAAAGAGGTTTGATTTTTTATTATATGTTTTATTTTATAGCTTTAAAATCGCAGGAGAAGTCAGAGGGAAGGTTATGTTTATAAAAGGCCACATCCCGTAAAGGAGCAACAAAGATATATAGATTATACTTTTATGCTAAAATGGGTTCAGAATATACACACTGCCATAGTCATCTAGAATAAATCAGCCTAACAACCCGAACGAAGCCGGGTACTTTCGCTAGTATTATAATAAAGTTGATGTAATATATGGCCTCTTCTGGAGTTTTTAGGATCGGAACTAGTTTTATCAGGTCCATATATACTGATTTATTTGAAGTATGATTGAAATTTATTTAGCGAAGTCAGTTGGTTTGTGTTTTTTAAATTAGCACGGGCAAGAATTAACATACAGCAATTAATATATTTATAACTATTCAATACAAATTTGAGTTTAATTTATCCTATTTTTGTCTGTTAACATTCTGATACATTGTGTACCTGTGTTATTATGTAGTGATGATGCAAATGCCATCCCTATTATCTTGTTTGCATTGTTTTTTAAGGATTAATATTAGCCATCCCTACATTTACATTTTTTTGTGGAAAAGTTTTTCTTTACTTTGACTGTTATGGGCCCGAATTGAGAAATGTTTTCAGTTATAAATCAGTACCAAAAGAAGCAGTAAAGGGGGAGGGGGGAGAGAACACCACCAACAAAATACCACAAAATCTCTAACTGATGCCTCCTTAGATTTTATATCCCAATTTTATCTGATATTGTGTGGAGCTTTTCTGCAGTGAGCTAAGTGAAGGACCTAAATCTTTTGTGCTGAAGATTTATTGCTAGGAGGAACGTGAAAGGGAAGTGTCAGTGGGAAAACAAAGAACCCAAGGAGTCATTATTATAGTTCCTGCTTGTACCAACAGTATTTGCTTAGTAGTGCTAAATGACGATTAGACATTACCTGTACAGGTTTTATATTGTTATTTCAAAGATGCCTTAAAGTATTACTGTTTCAGGTGTAAACATATTCCTTGCATTTTCTTTCGAATTTTCGTTGACGACAACTTAGTCGGCACGTTTGATGTGAATGCAGGTGTACGTAAGGTAGCATTTGAGGTCGCATGCTCTCTGTCCCGGCAAATATTGTTATCTCAGAAGCACAGCCGTTTATATTATACTAGCAAAATACACGCACTCCGGGCAGGTATAACTGCTAGTTCCAGCGGAAGGCTATTGGGCCTGCAGCCCAAAGACAGACCTACGGCTATTTCTGGAATTGTCTGACAGTTCTACAACAATGTACTCATACTTGACATTCAGTAATGTTCACTATCCATGAGAAAAAGGATTTTATTGTAATTTTAGTTTAAAAATGAGC